AGAGTGAAAAATTTAAAGGGGTCTGAATACTTTCCGTACCCACTGTAAATCAAGAGAGAAGTAGAGTCATTTTCTCACAGACTTCTATACAACCTGCCTTGTTTTTCAACCAGAGGAGTCACCCCCTGATGGTCGGTAGAGAGAATGCAATTTTTAAGACGCTTCCGCATTGCCGCCTGGTCACAACATATTTCCATCACTGTCCTCACTAATGCCCCCCCCCCCCCCTTATTTCTCTTCACCTCTCTGCACCCTTCCTGGTCATCTTTCCTCTCCCTAGGCCTAGAAGTCCAGCTAACTGCTAACTGTTCATTTGTGTGTGCTTCGAGCAGTGGTGAGACTCCTCCCTACAACCGATACTCCGGAGGAGCAGCGGCAGCCGCCACAGCAGCCCCCCAGCAAACTCTGGCACCAAGGTGAGAGATGGTAGTGTGACTTAGGGAGACATTTTAATGAAAGGCCCAGATTATACTCATGTTGTGTGATGTATTCCTGCGGTGATATCTCTTTTTGTTTAAATAATTCTGTGCTGTAACTCCATACCAACTTATCTATTCATACAACCATCCTTTCTTCGCAGCAGAGCAGGATGGAGGCTTCGTTCGGCCCTACCTTCTCAGCCGTGGCTGCCGGAGCGAAAGGTGATAACGCAAATAATATCCCCCTCTATAAATGCTCTCTTTTTCTGCGTCACAGCTTCTCTCTTTTGCTTGATAGTCCTCCATCGTTCTTTGTTTTGTTTGTTGAGAATTTGCCCTCTTGTGTTTTCAGCCGAAGGGTCCAGCAGCTACAAGCAGCATAGAAGAACTCCCTCCTCCTCAAGCACTCTGACCTACTCTCCCCGGGATGACGACGACGGAATGGTACACACAAAGCCTTTTATGTTTTTATGCCAAGCCAAGTTAATGGGTTCAAAAGCTCAAAGACATCAACATTTATTATGAAGTTCCGCAAAGCTGATCATTTTGGAAAAGCGCCGGGTTAAATTTACATGTGAAAGTGGCAATTTTCAGAGTTTCCGAAAGAATCGCATTATATTTGTGGCCGTGTGGATAGGCCGTGACCTCTTCTCTGCTTCTCCTTCTCCCAGCCTCCTATTACTCCTCGGAGGTCAGATTCCGCCATCTCAATCCGATCTCTCCACTCCGAATCCAACATGTCTCTGCGCTCCACTTTCTCTCTACACGAAGAGGAGGAGGACACGGTACGACCGTGCTATATGTTAGCACTAACATATATCACATATATGACATCAAACGTATGACCACAAACACCTAAACGTGTGAAGAAGCGCTGCGAGGAGCCAGTTTTGGAACTGAAACCACACCAAATTAAGAAACGAGCGTGTGTTTGTGTGCAGGAGCCCCAGGTGTTTGCTGAACAGCCATCCGTAAAGCTGTGCTGCCAGCTGTGCTGCAACGTCTTCAAGGACCCCGTCATCACCACATGTGGGGTGAGTTTATTTCTGTCCTTTCCAGCCTTTCCTCCATCATCATCACTCTCTTTGCCCTCCTCTCTTCTGTCTGATTTTCTTATCTTTTTCTTTTAAAGTTACAGAGAGGAACTTTTAACTGGTTATGAAACAGTCTCAAATTATTACTGATGCCTCTACATGACCTTCATTAGTAAACGAGACCATCAGCGAGAAGATTGGCTATTTCGATATCGTTTTTCTTAATGCTTTTCATCGGTGTCACCGGCTCAGATTCTGGCCAAATCGGATGAAATAATGCAGGTTAGCCAGAAACTCCCTCAGCTCCGACTCCAGGCCCAGATCCGGCTTCGATGCCACCTACGACCTGCAGTCGGAGCTCCGGCGGGAGGAGGAGAGCTGAGCTCCCGGCAGCAGCGGCTCGTCCTAGGCCGGGAGCAGATCTTCTCCTTGCTGCTCCACCGGCACCCTGTGGGAGCCAACACCACGCTGCTGGAGGACCAGATCGTCTTGCTGGGCTCCGTTAGAGGGAAGAGAGGCATGGGAGAATCAGAACCAGCAGACAGACCCTGCTGCCGTGAAATGAGAGGATTTCTAAAGGGACCCTGATGCTCGGAAACACTAGCACTTTTGTCCACAGGGGCCGCCAAAATCAACGCAAAATGGAAGTTCCTTGAAGTAGCTTTAAACTCGGCTCTCCCTTCATGAAAAAATGTTTTAAAAGTAACACAATTGAAACAAGGGTGGTAGATTATGGTAAATGGTTAGTTGTTTTAAAACTTACTCTAATAAGAGAAAATGTAAAAATATGAACATTTCAACATGCTTTTTTTCCTTCCTCCTCAGCACACCTTCTGCAGACGATGTGCCTTGACTTCAGGTGAGACTTAATAAAACGCTCCTTTATTTGTTTTTGACGTGCCGGCGCTGTGGCAAACGTTCTTACCTTACTTTCATGTGCGTCCTCCTCGCAGACAAGTGCCCAGTGGACGCGGCTAAGCTCACGGTAGTGGTCAATAACATCGCGGTAGCCGAGCAGATCGGAGAGCTGTTCATTCACTGTAAATACGGCTGCAGGGCCACGGCCAGCGCTGCAGGCGGGGCCGCGGCCTCCACCTCCACGGTGGCCGGGAAACCCGGAGCGTACGAGGTGGACCCGCTGGGCTGCCCGTTCACCATCAAGCTCTCCACGCGCAAGTAAGGACTGAGGGTTTTAAAAAGGAATGGTCACATTGCAAAAAGCTGTTTATTCAAATGTCTCCCATCTCTGCAGAGAACACGAGGCCAGTTGTGACTACAGGCCAGTCCGCTGCCCCAACAACCCTTCCTGCCCCCCGCTGCTCACCATGAACCTGGAGGCTCACCTCAAAGAGTGCGAGCACATCAAGTGTCCACACTCCAAATATGGGTGAGTCCTTAAAAAACCACCACACACTTTATTTTACTGCACGTTATGCTGCTGCATACTATTTGTCTGTCAATGCGTATTACACACTTGTCTACCTTCCACTCATCGGCCTCTCGTCTTCTGCCCGACAGCTGTACGTTCATCGGTAACCAGGACACGTACGAAACACACCTGGAGGTGTGTAAGTTTGAGGGTCTGAAGGAGTTTCTGCAGCAGACTGATGACAGGTGAGCAGACGTACTCAAGCTATTTCCTCATCCCAAGACCTGAGTGCATCCAAGTATTTGTCAAATTGATTGGTGTGTTTACCGAGTGTTCAGCATACTTTTCACTACGTCAGTGTATTTTGAACCTTGACTATTATGAAGTCGTCATTGTCTCTGTTTCCAATCTGTCTGTTTGAGATCTCTGACCTTTGACCCCGTTTAGGTTCCACGAGATGCAGCTGACTCTGGCCCAGAAGGACCAAGATATAGCTTTCCTGCGCTCCATGTTGGGCAAACTGTCTGAGAAGTTAGATCAACTAGAGAAGAACCTGGAACTCAAATTCGGTAAGATACAGAAGAGAAGGAAGTTGATCTGTTTTACCCGCTTACTCAGCACAAACGAGCCGGGACTAACAATGCATTATTTTTTTAACATTTAAAGGGGTTATGTGCAGAAGTGAGCTAACTTGCTTAAAGTTACCGATGCTACTTTGACACTTCCTGCATTTGCTTTATGTGAAGGCAGAGGTGTTACAGTGACTATAGCAGGTAGCTTACGTCACAAAAAAGTACTATTTAAGTTTTTCTAACTGTCGATATCGACATTTTCTGCACTTTTTGTGAGGTCATTTTGAAACTTTACATGGATACATTTTTAATAGATAATAAACAATATAAGGGATGGGCAAGACGTTACACCTCATAAACATCAAGCTTTTAGCAACTGCAGTTAAAATATTATAATTTAGCCGGTAATAGAATGTAGTAGAATGCAACAATACTTTGTGATGCAAATCTGTGATGATTCAAATCGATAAGATGAAAAATGTATTGTGAAACTCTTTATATGGAAGAGGGCGATATGTACTTTTGACTTTATAATAAGTACATAATAGCGTGAACCCAGTATCATCAATCGTATGGAATGGCAAGTTGAGTGTTGATGGTCACATCCCTCACAGGTAGAACGACTGAGCCATGCACAGGCCAGGTGGTCTGGCGAAGAGGTTTTAGACGCATGTAATCAAGATGAGGGAAGCTTTTTCTACGTGGACACACAGACGGAGGACAGTTGGTGCAGCATCGGCTCTGAGTGTTTATGTTTAAAGTGTTTATCTCATTCCATAAACCTTCTCAACAATATAGCTTTAAAATGTCAGAACCCTTTAAAGCATGTTATGTATGAATGTCTGCTTAAGAAGTGATCTGTAGTTACAACCTTTCTTTAACTAATCTTTAATCATTTGGACACAAAGAGGCTTAGAGCACTGGTTTCAGATCAGTGCTCAGGATCTGAGTTTGGGTTTGTGAATCCGTATCAGTGGAGACAAAGCTGGGTTTTCATCAGATCACGTCTCACTCCTGCACTACAATTAATAGGGGATTTTTTAAGACCTAACTGTTGATGGATAAATATTGACTGGAGAAAGTTTAAGACCCCCCCAGCCCCCCCGGCTTGAGCACAGCATCCTCACTGCGTTTTCTCCTCTCAAAGTTATCCTTCCTGTGTGTCTTTCAGACGTGTTGGATGAGAACCAGAGTAAACTGAGCGAGGACCTGATGGAATTTCGTAGAGACGCTTCCATGCTTAACGTAAGTGTGAGTGTACACCTTGCAAGGAGAAAGAGAAAACATGCGTGTGTGTGTGTGTGTGTGTGTGTGTGTGTGTGCGTGTGCGTGTGCGCGCGCGCGTGTGCGTGTGCGTGCGCATCTATGAGTGAGAATGAAAGTTTGAAACAGCCAGACAGAATGAAAGGATCGGAGTATGTGTGCTGTAGCTGTAGAACGCATTGCTTAAAGTGTTGTCTCTCTGCAGGATGAGTTGTCCCACATCAACGCCAGGCTCAACATGGGAATCCTGGGTTGTAAGTGTCTGCACGTCCGTCCTCCTCTTTAAAAATCCTCTTGGTTTTTTTTTCATTATTCTTCACATCTCTCAGCGGAGTAAAAACATTTGATAAACACGTTTTGAACCACTTCTGTTGACTTGAAATGTAAAACTCTTCTCTGGTTGTTCTTTCCTCCTCGTCCTTACTCCCACTCACCTTCCCTCACCGGTCTCCGTCTGTCCCTTTTCTTCCTCCTGTCCTCATCTACCTCTCTCCGCTTCAATTATATTCCTCCCTCGTTTCGCTTCCAATGAAAAACACATATCCAGTCTTTCCCGTCTCTGTGCCTGTGTGTAGCATACGACCCCCAGCAGATCTTCAAGTGTAAGGGGACCTTCGTTGGCCACCAGGGTCCCGTTTGGTGTCTGTGTGTCTACTCCACCGGAGACCTGCTCTTCTCTGGATCCTCGGATAAGACGATAAAGGTAGCATCAACACGCACACACACACACACACACACACACACACACAGGAACGACATTGGCAATGCGTAAAAAAGGATTATTTTTCTTGATGCCAGGTGTTGGCGCAGCAGAGCGCCTTCAAACTCATGGATGTATTACACAAACTTCTCTGGAGTACATGTAGCAACACAGTGCTATTTCGCCCTTCGTCCACTTACTTCCAGAGAGATTCTGATAACTTCTGCCCACAATCTTGTTTTGTAACGGCAATCTGGAGTCATAGATTTATTTTAATGCTCATCACTTACTCAAGAACTGGAAGAGACCATCAGTAGATATGAGCTGAAAAAATCCTTAAAGGGATAGTTAGAAAAAGTGTATTATCTGCTGCAGGTGGTCGGGCCGCCCCTTAGTTTGGAGAGATAGACGGGAGTATAAGCACAAGAGCAAAGCATTGTACTACTGTGGACGAGGGCAACAGCAAAATGTAAAAAAAATTCAAAATATCAGTTTAAGCGTAATATTTTCTCCGCTTTAGTTTGCAGTCAGACTTCAGCCCTTTTTCGGGGGGGAACTGAAGCTGTTGTATCGATCTTTGCTCTCTCCAAAGCCACGAGACTCCACTGATAATGTTTACCACTACAAGCAATGGTAATAGTTAACAGCTAAGGATGTTTTTCTTTATGAACTTAATTAAACTGTTGTCTATTTAGCCATGAATATTTGAAGGAATAGTTCCAAGATTTGGGGAAATCCATTTATTCATTTTCACTCGCTGAACACAGAAGTGGCCGGTCTACCACTGCATCGAATGGTTGGTTGGTTAGTGTTAATGTGTGACTTTTACCCTTTTACAACACCAAAGTCACACAATAACGCAAACTAACTAACCAAACGAGGCAGCGGTGGAAGAGTAACTTAAATCACCGTCTCTGTCAAGGGAGTCGGGTGGCTTTGAGAACAGCAGAGATAACGGCTTCAGTTCCCTTCAGAAAGGGTCGTCAGACCACAACCGCCATCTATTGAAGGTATTACACCAAACTGAACTCCAAACGAGCCCTTTAAGAGGTATTTATTTTGTGTCTCCTCTCTTGCTCTCAGGTTTGGGACACCTGCACCACCTACAAGTGTCAGAAGACCCTCGAGGGTCACGATGGCATTGTCCTGGCGCTGTGCATCCAAGGGTAACAAAATGCACACAAACAGCACATCATAAGCTGCATGTCAACTGGGAATTACCAGGCCCC